CCAACAGGGAGCCCTGGATCCGCCACCGCCCGTCGGCAAGAGGCCCCGGGGACCGCCTGGCCCTCCCCGCTGCAGAGGGAGAGCCAGGAGGAGGGCGAAAGCCGGACGGGGTCGGGGAGCCCCTGAACATGTGCAGAGTTTCTCCCTTCTGCTAGGAAAGAGAAACTGTGGCAGGACGGGACACTGGGAAGCTCTGCCCTTGACCGTCTCCGTAAACACCCTCTGCCCCACAGCCCACAGGCAGGGGCGGGAGCAGTCCTGGTTGGCAGAGGAGGAGCAGGTCTTTTGCAAAGCCAGTGGCTCTTAATGGCCCGTTCTGGGCAAAATGCCTCTTAAAGAAAGGAAAAGGCGCATCTATGAAATCAAGCATGAATCCTCCTACATAGTCTCCCTTGTGTTACCGGCCTGATCCTGGTGCGCGGAAGGGGAGAGGAGAGAACCTTTCCTCTGCCAGCTGCTCTGGAGACTCCCGCTCAGGGAAAGCCAGAAGGCAAAGCCGCCTCTCCTTCCCCCTCCACGTCCCAGCTGGCCTGCCTGCCCCCCTTTCCTGCCCATGAAGCAGAGACCACCCTCTGACAGGGAGCCAACCGGTGTGCCCCCCCCCCGCCAGAAAAGAGAAGGTATGCTCTCCCAGTATGCAGGCTGGGAAGTCCTGGGGGTGGCCTCTCCTTTCTCTCCGGATACAGGGCTTCCACGCAGCCGGAAACGCCACGTCCAGGCAACAAACAGTCTGTATAAATGTGGTTTCTCACAGGGAAGGTTTCTCTCCGGCTCAGGGCTCCCACGCAGCCGGAAACGCCACGTCCAGTTAAGAAACAGACTGTATAAATGTGGTTTCTCCCGCTGCCATCCAGGGGTTGAGAAATGGGTTGAAGAATTAAAACAAAGCTGAGCCCAGGAATTGGAGGCAGAAAATAGGGGGGGGGAGAAACGAAGCTTGGAGGGCTTCCCTACTGCTTGCATTTAATTAGGTTATTAGCAGTTTTTATTTAAAATATTTTTACCACACCTTTCTCCTGAAGAACTATTCAAGGTGGCTTACGCCATTAAAAGACAATACAGTATTTAAAGCTAACCATGGTGAGTGTACAACACTAAAAAGAAAGTGAACAAATACCATACTAAAAAACCAAAACACATTCAAAGCAGCAACACACAACAATTCCTGTGAAGATCCTACTCAGGCAGCCAGCCAGTCCTTGAGAGAAAGCTTTTCCAAAGAGGAAGGTCTTGACCTGCTTGCAGAAGGAGAGCCAAGAGGGGCCCGGCATGGCTTCCAGTGGGAGGGAGTTCCAGAGTCTCTGGGAGCAGCCACGGAGAGGACCCTCTCCTGGGTCCCCCCACCAAATGCACCTGAGTAGGCACCAGAATCGGGAAGGCCTCCCCTGATGATCTTAATACCCCGGCAGGCTCATAGAGGGAGACGCCTTCTTTGAGATAGCTTCTTGGCCAGTCTATAAAGCCAGCCCAGAATTGTGCCCGGAAACCTATCAGCAGGCAGTGGAGCGGCTGGAAGGGGTGGAGGTTGAGCGTGGGTGGGTAATATGTAACCAGCTCCTCAGCAAGCTCTTGCTGCATTTTGGACCCGCTGAAGTTTCCCGATCGCAGACTCAGTTAACTGTTTGCAGACTTGGCAGGATTGAGGTTGGTGCCCCCAATCCATCCAGAAAAGACACTCAGGAGGAAGCAGATCAATGGGTGTTCCAGTATCCAGAACAAATGATGAGCTCTAACAGGGAGTAGCCATCCGATAAGGATATTTTGTTGTTTCCTTCAAGACAGCACTTAAAAGGGCCTGCAGGCGCCGTTAAAGGGTGGGAAATGCTGGTAAAAAAAGAGAGGAGTGCAGAATTCAGGAAAGGGGAGGATTAAAACTAATCCTGATTATGAAATCTCTCTGTAGAACGGCTCCTTCTCCAACTGGGAGGAGATCCACAGGTACCCCAACGCTCAGCCCTGGGTCCCATGCTCTTCAACATTTTTATGAATGACTTGGATGAGAGAGTGCCTCAGAGGCCACTTTCCAACATTATTCTTCTAGGATAAAACTTTTTTTAAGGTCAAAGAAGGCCTTAGTCACTGGAAGTGTTTGCTCAGTGGCGGAAAGAAAGGAACGGAGAGGAGGGAACGGCTGGGTGTGGACCAGGCGTAGGGACGACGGGCGTGACTTTGGGGCTCCCAAGGTTCCCGAACAGAGTTCCCCAACCACTTTTTTGAGTCGTGGCCCCCTTTCAAAATAAAATAAAAGTTGGCTGCAAGTCCTTGTTCAAACTAAATGCATGTATCCGTGGGCCAAGAGGATTTTAAAAAGAACCCCATTATGTATTGCATATTTAATATAATGTTAAAGTTTCAACTAAAAAAACAACTGGTGCCCCCTGTCATGGAGAAAAAAAAATTGCTTACGACTCCGAGGTTAGGAACTCGTGCTCCAGAAGGGTTTCGAGACATTTTCACACGAGCAGAACGCAAAACTATATGTGCGATTTCACAAAGCCCACGAAGAAGATGTATAAAAAAGAGAGCTTGGGAGTTATTTTACTTCAAATGCCCCTCCCAGTCATTGACATCTTGGTACTGCATGGTGGGGGGGGTGGGCGGGCATCCTGGGGTTCATAATTTAAAAACAAACAAACCCGCGTTTTCTCCAGCTTTGGAATGGATACAGACAGCCTAACCTTGGGACTAAGCCCCACCCCCCCACCCCCCCAGTCCTGGTGGGAGAAACTACGAAAAAGAAGATGATAAAGAAGAAGGACAGAGAAAGGAAAAAGACCTCCACAGCACAACTTTCTCATTTTTTATTTCATATTTTTCATTAGTGACACAATACTCAAAATTCCGCTGCCTGAGTTTGTCTTAGCTTCCTTTCTCTGGAGACGAGGCAGACTCAGGGAGGCTCACAGTGTTAAAAAAAGAGAATTCAAACACAAGAATTCATATGTTTTAAAACCATTCAACTATAATACTCATTAAAATACATGGGTGCATTAGAAGAGTATAAAACGTTAAAAACTCAGAAAAGGCATTTGGCGCCCCGGGTGTGATTAATAAAAGCATGCAATCGTTGGCCATGCCTTTCCCTCTCCCCACTTCTGATTCTGAACCCCTTCTGGTTTTGAAATCATCCCCTGGGATTGTAAAAGCACCGAAGAAGAGTCAAACACCCCCCCGCCCCCGCCCTGCAAACTCGGCCCCCTCCATACACACACGCACAAACACACACACAGAGAAGCAGACGTGGCCAGCTCTGCCCAGTCAGCCTGAGGCTCCTGGTCAGTCTGCGCATGCTCAGAGGAGCAGGGGCATTCTCTCTCTCTCTCCGATCACACCTTGCGTCCTCCTCCTCAGCTGAAGGCACGGTGCTGCTCTCTGGCCTGGGCGGGAGGGGTGTCGATCCCACTCCAGGTGCAAGAACGCATGGGAACCCCCTCCCGCCACAACCCAAGGTGCAAAGTCTGGCCAGTCCCCGCATGCTCTGCAGCAAACCCCATCGGCGTCTTAACAGATCCCCAGCCCTCGGGATATCAAATGAGGAAGACGTGGGGAGCAGCCGAGTCCCCCCTCAGTGACGCTTGCTGAGGTCCTTGATGAAATCTGCCATGTGAGCCACAGCCGCGGCGGTCATCTCACAAGGGTAGAAGCCATCCTGGAGGGTGAAGCGGGTGTGCACGGTCAGCACCACGGCCGGATGGGACACCTGCTGTTTGGTGTCCACGAAGGCCCCCGAGCTGTCCTTTGGGATCAAGTGCATGACCACCAAGAAGACCTTCTCTTCGCCTGGAAGGGGAAGGAGAGGAGCAGCCATGAGACCAAGCCTTGGGGGAGGCCAGAGAGAGAGACAGAAAAAGGGGGGGGGACCCTCAAGGCAGGCCCCCCAGGCACAATTCTAGGGTAGGAGGGCATGTGGGCTGGCCCCAGAGGCCCTGGCCTGTGAGCCCCACAGGTGGGGATTCTTGACAAGTTACAAGCCAAGGGTTGAGTCCTTTGCTAGGGATGACCCACAGGTGCATGGGGCTCATGCAAGGGGATCCCAACAGAGTGGGTGGAGGGACAGAACGGAGGGCCAAGGAAGGCCACTCAAACGGTCTGTGCCCCCTTCGAGGCCAACGCCTTGTCTTCGGGGAAATCAAAGAGAAGGGCGAACCCACAGCCGGAGACCTGTTCTCTCCTGGCCAGGTGTGAGAGCTGGTCAGGTAGGGAGCGGACCCGGCTTCTCTTCTGCAAAGGGCCCGGGAATCTCTCTCTCTCTCTTCTCCCATGTCATGGTTATCCTTCTGGCCTCGCGGCTCATAACTGGGGCCGACCTGGAGTGACCTTCTCCAGCCACCTTTTCCACCCGCGTATGGGGCAGGCAACACCTGGACACAAAAAAGGTACTTCCTCTTGAGTTGCAGCTCTTCATGAATGGCATCTCCTGTGGCACAAATCAGAGTCCCCCCCC